CTCTCAAGAGCATGTTCAGAGATAAAACCGATGTGCTCCAGGCTCTTTACGCAGCAGAAAAAACAAACGCTGACCACCAACATGCAACTACTCAGAAAAGGAGGCACATGCATGTCAACCATTTTGCCTATAATTTCAGAAAGGGGCTCTGTTTGTTTGAATTTCAAAACATTTTGAGTTTCATCTAGCTACAGCTAACATATGCTAAAATCAACTGCTATTCCTAAAGAGTCAGTAACACCAGACAAATGCAGAATGCACAGTTTTTATTTGCTGAGTATAAGAACATTTGAATCCACTTTCCATTCATGAGGTGAGCAAACTGCAGTGGATTGACATGACTCGAAATCAAAACTACTATCAGCATTGAAAGAAGTAATATTTCACAGTAATAGTAATATTTCATAGTCATAGGAAAATAATGGTGTGATGTGACCCAACCCAAAGTTCCCACGCCGAAGCTGGCACTACTTTCAGAGCTGCTATTATAGAAAATTAATCAACAACTTCTGACCAACCAGGTTTGAGAATTCACTAGCAATGTGGTATATAGTACTGTGCAAAAGTCTTAGGCACATGCAAAGAAATGCTCTAGAGCAAAGATGCCTTCAAAAATAATGAAATTAAATGTTTCTACATGAAAAAAAATGCTATAAAGAGCAGTAAACAGTAATAAATGAAACAGTCAATATTTGGTGTGACAATGCTTCGCTTTAAAAAAAAATAGTAGTCTCAGGTACAATTTGTGCAGTTTTATAAAGAAATTAGCTGTAAGTTTTACTGAGCATCTTGCAGAACCAGCCACAGTTCTTCTGGAGACTTTGACTGTCACACTTGCTTCTTATTTTTGCAGCAAAACCCAGCAGCCTTCATTATGTTTTTTGTCTGAAAAGTGTCTCTTATGTAATATGCTGCTTTCTTTACTGACATACAAACATTTTTCTGTAACATTTAATTTTGTGTTGGAAAACTAATGTTTGGAATTCTAAAAAGTTTTTGTACTGAATCAATAATGTAGAAGTCATAAAATAAAAATCTATAACAAAGTTTGTACTAAAAAAAAAAATAGGGTGCCTAAGACTTTTGCACAGTACAGTAAATGGCAATAAAGGTAGGAAGTTCTGACTTGTATTGATGCGATACAGAGTACTGGCCTAATACTGATCTGAATGTCTATATCTGTATCAGATCGAATTAGACATATTTTAGGAACGTTGATGTATTTTTTGTACAAGCTGATGGTTTTCTCCTCTTAAGTCAAAAAGCTTAGTAGAGTTCAATATTTCTAGCTTATTCTTATCATTACCTGAAAGACAGAAACAGATTTTTAGTAACTGGCCAATAATCAGAGATCTGTTACTGGTATCGTGTCAGAGCTTTTTTAAATATTGGTGCATCCCTTTGCTCAGTACTGTGCCATGAGTTTGGCAGAACTTGAGAGTACTTTTTGTTTATTTGTAAACCAGAAAAAAATAACCAGAGGACTGTTTCACTGCCGTTTTCCTGAATGTCAATAATGCTTGCTTATAATTTATTACTGCACAACCTGAACCGGATCAACAGTACATCTCAGACCCTTTTCTTCTGGATCTGGTGGATATAATAATCCTCGATTTATTTCTATGCTTTCCCGACCGTTACTGTTAAGGATTGATTCAAAATGCACCGTGGAGAGCAACCTGACTGGTTGCATCACCGCCTGGTATGGGAACAGCACCGCCCTCAACCGCAAAGCTCTGCACAGAGTGGTGCGGGCCGCCCAGCATATCATCGGAGGTGAGCTTCCTTCCCTCCAGGACATCTACACCAGGTGGTGTGTGAGGAAAGCACGGAGGATCATTAGAGACTCCAGCCACCCGAGCCATGGACTGCTCTCGCTGCTACCATCAGGCAGATGCTATCGCAGCATCACATCCCGCAGCATCACATCCCGCAGCATCACAACCCGCAGCATCACGTCCCGCAGCATCGCATCCCGCACCATCAGATCCCACAGCATCACATCCCACACCATCAGATCCCACAGCATCGCATCCCGCAGCATCGCATCCCGCAGCATCGCATCCCACAGCATCAGATCCCGCAGCATCAGATCCCGCACCATCGCATCCCGCAGCATCGTATCCCGCACCATCACATCCCACACCATCACACTCCCACAGCATCACATCCCGCAGCGTCAGATCCCGCACCATCACAACCCGCACCATCACGTCCCGCGGCATCACGTCCAGCACCATCACGTCCCGCACCATCACGTCCCGCAGCACCAGATCCCGCACCATCACATCCCGCACCATCACATCCCACACCAGCAGGCTGAGTGACAGCTTCTTCTTGCAGGCCATCAGACTGTTAAACTCTAACCAGTAACACCACCACAAGCACAACCCATTCTACCTTCCATGCACTGCACTTTATCATTTACATTTCAAGTCAACACAAGTCAAGTGGCTTTACTGTCATTTCAACCATATACAGCTAGTGCAGTACACACTGAAACAAAACAACATTCCTCCAGGACCATGGTGCTACATAAAACAACACAGAACTACAAGAGACTACACATTACTACATAAAGTGCACATGCAAACGTGTGCAAACAACACAAGACAGTACAATAACTACCAAAACAGGACAATAGCTACAGTAAGAGACAGTGCAGCACTGACCAGTACACAGTTCTAGTATGAAAGTGTCAGATATAACAGTAGTGCAAAAATATAACAATTTAATAAAATGTGAATGTGTGAATATAAACATAACATACTATGACAGTATTTGGCAGATAAGCTTATACCATATATGAACATAGCAATTATTGGGGAAGCAGCCAGGTAGAGATAAGATATGCATATATATCTTATAGTATATAAGATATATATGTATATCTTATATATGTATAGTAGTGACAAGAAATTATATACAATCATTTGCATTGGACTCAGACTGATGGACAGACGGATATCAGACTCTGACTCTTCTTGTACTGCATGTGCAATATCTCCCACTATGGCACTGTTTCTGACTACATACGATGTTTAGAGTTTATTATTTTTACTTGTTTAGAGTATGTTAATAATTTTGCACAGTCTTTGTGCTCAGTGTTTACAGTTTGCTACTTTTTGTACTATGTAAGAGTTCATTTATCATTTCTGCACTGTGCCTGGGCAGGAGTGTGCAACTGTAGCACAAGCATTTCACTGTATGTAGATACTTAAAGCACTCCTCATGCACCTGACAGTGAACTGGAATAAAACTGAAGCTTGAAGACTGGTGTAGCAGCGCCCTCTGCTGTCCGCATGTGTTAATTACACAGCCTGCATGTTCAGCATGCTCGTTAGATCCCAGTTTACACTGCATAAATCCAGTCTTATACAGATCATTTCTAGAGGAATGGACCTACATACCCAACATCAGGATGTTTTCCTCTTTTCCCACATGCTGGACCAGAAGATGGCGGAATTTAGTGAAGTCCCCAAACCACTCAAAAGTCTCTTCAGTTTGGTATCTTTCATTCCAGTACTCCACATCTTTATATCTCTTATTAGAGTCTGGTAAATACTCCATACTGCTCAGACTGTATTTACTGATATACACTTGTGATGGCAGGAAGGCATGTGGTGTACAAATTTACACAACAACAACACGACAGTGTGATCAGTGTACTGTGTTACACACTCTCCCACTAAACTATCCACATGAACCTCTCAGTTCCCTCACACTGTGCGGGGAAAGCCGCATGCTACTGTACTGAACAGCACGGCAAAACACTACGCTTTCATTAATACTGGTCACGGGATGCGTACTAGTTTCCACACTAGTAGTGTAGGATGCACTCTAGCTGGAGCCACGTGCTCGCCCTTTGACCTCACCGTCAGAAGTTTCAATATAAAAGTCTTCCGGACAGACTAGCTCAGGTCTCCAGCTGGCAAAGTATTTCATTACAGAATCGATAAATGTCTGGGGAAAAAAAACAAAAACAAAAAAAAACGCTGTCGTTTAGTGACTTAAGTTTTCTAGGCATGAACCTTGCAGCAGATCCTTGACACGCAATCAATTACATGCATTTGTGTAAATGATTCAGCTGAAGGCAGCTCATGGGATCAGAGGCTAGCTACAAGGCTACAGACGTTAACTCAGAAATAGGAGTCTTCACAAAAACAGATTGGACAGACAAGTTTTCATTTATTCTCCCCATGTCAAGTTAAAAACAGATGTTGTCATGGCAAATACTTCTGCAAATCAGAATAAGAAAATGAGTTACAAAGACAAGGGGATCTGGATGCCAAAAATCTATAGACTTTATTGAATCAAACAGCAAAGCCGAGATGGTCTGCAGAGCTTCTGATTTACATAATCGTGGCCCATGCTTTTATACAATTCTAAAACAATGATCTCATCCGATAGAGTTTTCTCTTCTTTCTTTTAATCACACACCTGCCTCTCGCCCCAATTATTTCACTTTCCCCTTATCTCAGTTTTAACCGTGGCGAGAGTTCAGTCAGTTTATGTTTCAAAAACAACATTAGCCTTTACCTTAAAAACACCACCTACTAGGTCACATCAGTTTGTTCTCACAGAAACATCCTTGTAGGATCATAGGCCTAAAGTCACCCTTCTAAATGCACCAGAAATGGTACAGTGTAGTATATAAATGAAGCTCTGAAAGTTAATACATGAGGTGATTTAAGGTCACTTTTCAATACTGTTGCATAGATACTGATTGATATAATACTGATTAACAAATGATATTGATATAGATAACAGGAAATTCCTCCATAATGTCTCCTTGGTCTATGACACTAGTCAAAAGTGGTAATGTTAAGTACCACTATAGGACAAAAAAACATCAGATTGTCTTATTTACATTCATAATCTAATCACTAGTTTCAGCATTGAAAAGTACCTGCTTTAACTATTCAGTCGTGTTAGTTGCTTATCTAGACCTTTATAAGTATTTTGGAATTCAGCAGTTAGTTTCAGCTAGGGGGCATGGTGGCTTAGTGGCTTAGTGGTTAGTACATGTGCCTTACACCTACAGGATTGGAGGTTCAAATCCCGCCTCTGCCCTGTGCGTGTGGAGCTTGCATGTTCACCCTGTGCTTTGGGAGTCCAAAGACATGTGTTGTAAGCTGATTGGCGTTTCCAAAGTGTGAATGTGTGTGTGATTGTGCACCCCATCCAGGGTGTGCCCTCAGTTCCCTGGGATAGGCTCCAGGCTTCAGACCCTCTGGAGGATAAGTGGTGTGGAAAATGGATGTATGGATAGTTCTGGTCCACTAATTTGATTGGACAAGTGGTATTCCAAGTGTGCTGACTGGGACATTTCACTGTTTGTATCACTCTGCTTGTCTGTGATTGCTAACTAAAATTACAATTCTAGCAATAGTTTGTTACATTGAAACCGTTACTACAGTTACAATGAGCTGTCTGTCAGTCTGAGAATTACCATAGCAACACACTCTATCCAGCTGTGGCCTCTTTGAGAATTATTTTTATGGAAGGCTACCCTCAGTTTCATTCAAGTTGAGCAGTTAAACTTAATTGCCACCAAAGACTAACAAAGTATATGTGACCCATTGAAAATCTGATATAGTAAATAAAAACTGAATAAATCTGTCTGTTAGCTATTATTTTGAATATACCTTTTATGGAAATAAAATAGATACCTTAATTGTCTTAACACAGGAAATATGTAACGTGTCACATCTGTTTTGAAAAATTGAGTTTCACTGTCTTTAGCGTAGGTGTATGTAAACTTTTAGCCTCAACTGTAACTAATATTGTTATAGTTACAGTTGTGTAATTATAATCAGAAGCTTAGTTAGTCTGGTCGTCTGGTTTTGGTTTAAAATTATGCTAGCTTAACGTTATAAAGGAAGGAATGTCAGCAATCAATAAAATGCTTTAAAAAAAACAAAACAATATGACCTTTAAACATTTGGATTGTTTCTATAAAATAAATCTTTCGAGGTGCACAGAAAAACATAATTTCTGTCCTTAGGTCAGTAGGGTCTGGTACAATACTAAGATTTAATCTAATACTAATACTAAGATTTTGTACAGGAGCATATGAGAGTTTACTTTTTTCATCTCTGTTATATTCTCTTAACGTGTACATAACAACCTCCAATTCTTCTCAATCATAAAATGTTGAAGATTTGCTTCCAACACACTCGCAGTTTCTGCAGGAACTGCACTATCTAGTTAGATGTGGAGTGTGTCTTCTTTATACTGTACTGTACAGTATACACTTCAAATTGAGAGAGTGTGCTTGTCCTATATTGGAACATTTTATTAGTTGTTTTACTTCGTTTTTTAAATTTCACTGATTTTTCGCTAATAGATGAAATACTTAATGGATCTGGGTAGGAAGAGCTGAGTTTATATAGGAGGTTTATGCTAGCTATGGACCATATTCAGAGTCAGTGACTTAAATTCAAAGGTTAATGTCAATATTTACACAGGAAAATTTACATATTCAGAAACCTATTAAGCACCTTCTTTTCTGGGCTCCCCATTCAGATTATGTAAATAACATCTGTGTAGTTCACACCTTGAACTGAAGCCTTGAAGATTGGCAGATTACTCATACACACAACTTAAAGATGCCAAGACATACTAAATTGAGGTCATGAAATAGTAATGTGTGTGGGGTGCAGGATATTTTATCACTATTTTAATTCACTATTTTGAATTAATAAAATAATGCAGTACTCTCCTCTAAATATAATGTGCTGATGGTTTGAAGGACAACATGACAAAGCATTCTGCAACACTTACAGTTTTCTTATTGTTCATTAATTATGAATAAGAGAGAGATCCATCAACTCTGAATATATAAGCACGCTCTTTTTATCAAGCTGTGCAAATCAACACACACATTTGCACAGCTGGGTAAATGAGAATAATCCATTACGGTGTGCAGTCAGTACAATAATAACCTTGCCACTCTACATTTAAAAAAAAAATAGTTTTGTATTAAACCAGGTTCTCTGTTTTCCCCCCACCTCCCAAAAACATGCCTGTATATGGACTGGCTATGCAAAATTGCAAAATTTTTTGTAAAATATTAGGACTCTACATAGTTAATAAAGACACTACAGAAAAAAACTGGGAAAAAAAAGGGCAAGAAGTAAAACAGGAACTTGAAAAACATAAAGGAGCAAATTATAAAGTGAGAATCGGTATAATTAAAACATTTGTGTTGTCTAAATTGCTTTTCCTTGCCACTGTCTTCCCACCAGATGACAAATGCATACAGCATTTAAATAATCTGTGCAAAATTTATTTGGGGTACAAATCGTGAAGTAACCAAAAGAGAACTTTTGTACAAAACTAAAGAAAATGGAGGTTTAGGAGCAACGGAAATAGGAATTAAGTTAAAGATCGCGTTTTGCAAAAATGTTGCACAGGCAATGGCGAGAAAAGCAATTTGGACAGACAAAGAGACATGGAAAGAAAAAAAAGTGAGAGCAAGACAATATGTTAATTATTACAAACTCACATACGGTGACTTTACTACTAAATATAGAGAACTAGACATTGACTGGGTCAACTGAAATAATTAGCTCTCATTATGGGGGAACTCCACAGTACAAAGAACTAACCAGCGAAGAAAGTAAAAAATGTATTAAAAATGTTTTGTCAAAGAATCTTTCAGAAAACACCCGCAACACAATCTGGTTAATTTCAGTAGATAGACTCCCAGTTAGAGCTATCGTAAAATGGAGCTGCTACGTCACCACTAAAGAATGTCCCATGCATAACTGTCATCAGGACGAAACGATTGAACACCTTTTAGTACACTGTGAAAGATCTGTAGATATCTGGACTAAGGTTAAATCTATAGGATTAAACATAGATATTACAGTAAGGACAGTTATGTATGGGATATTTGATAGCGTACCACAAAATTGACATGAATTATACTGGTTAGTTGTTTCTACTGTGAACTGCAAAATATGGAACACAAGATGCAAAATGGTTATCAATCAATGTAATATACCTGCTGATGCTGTGTTTAAACAAATTGTAAATCATCTAAAAAGACTTAAATCTGAAGATTGTAAGAAAAGGAAATGTTTTACATGGACATATTTAAAACTCTAAACTAATTTTGTAATTGTTTTTTTGTTGTTGTTTGTTTGTTTGTTTGTTTGTTTTCTCTTCTACCTACGACTGTGAAATGTTGAATGACATTGTAAAATTTGTTGGTATTTGTTCTAATGTGTATACTGTCTAGACATTCTTTGGATATGTACAACGTGAACTTTCTGGATTGATATGTATATATGATAATTGTAATGTTTTGAAACTTTTCAATAAAGTCTGATTTAAAAGGCAAAGTTGCCCCTAGGTGTGAATGAGTGTGGGAAATGTGTGTGCATAGTGCTCTGTGGTGGACTGCTATCCGATTCAGGACATGTCCCTGCCTTGTGCCCAGTGTTTCCGAGGATCTGTCTCCAAAATGACCCTAACCAGGATAAAGTTGTTACTGGATGAATGGATTTTTCTATTTTAAGACTGTGTCTCTTTCCTGTGCTAAACATAAGTTAAATGTAGAAATTCTCAAAATTTTGTTCTAGGAATTTTTTTCTAATTAATATAAAACCAAATCATACAGAATACACAGCCAGCAGCTTGGATCTTAAATTAGGATTTCTAAGTATTAGCAGTCCTATTATTATCTCTTACATCTAAAGCGCTTATTGTGAATGAAACTAAGTGAAAAAAAAGTAGTCTTCTCAATCATTTCCGCTAATTAGTATTTACAGGACACCTTGGCCCTATTCTGAATTTCTACAGAAATTCACAAACTTCAGTAGAAAATCACAAACGTTGCATTAGTAGAAAAAGCAGTAATTTTTGGAGACATCAATATTCATTTTGATAATCCATAAGACCATCTGAGAGGAGCATTTGTGCTTATTTTAAACTCAGTTGGGGTCCGTCAGAACATAATAGGACACACTTTTTATGTTGGACACACCCTTGATGTAATACTGACATTTGGCTTAAATATAGAAAATATAGTCACACTACCCCAGCCTGAAATGATTTCTGATCACTACCACATTTAATTAAAAAAAGTGTCATAATATATGCACTTTACTTCCTACTACATCAAATGTAAAACCACACTGTTACAAAGGTTACTGTACCTATCTGTATTGAAAATTTGCCAGATTTTGATTTATTGACTTTAATTGGCTCACCCTAAAGAACTCGATCAAGTCACTGAATGCATCAAATCAATATTTCGCTTCACCCTAGATAATGTTGCCCTTGATATAATGATCACACTCAGACTTAAATGGGTTTAGATAAGTGGTTTGTTGACACTGATCCAGATTGGCCATGGCATTGTTACTAAACATTCTTTATTGTATAACTAGAATAAAGATACTGTTAAAATGGCTTACAGCAGCTGTTAATTTGGCCATTGAGAAAGTTGTTGTATTCACCCCTTCACACCTCTCAAATGGTCCTGTTTACATCTACTGAATAATTGCAGTCCTCATCACAGAGACAAAAGGACAAAGACTGTGTGGTAGGCTAAACTCATGTATAATTCAAAGTACTGTTTTGCATAGTGTAATTACTGAAGATGACTTTAAATACTGATTTAAAGTTTGCTGACACCCAAAAACTGCTTTACAAGACACTATTGCAATAATAATATGATAAAGAAACATCATTTTCAACTAGTCTTTAGAAAATAACATTTATTTTCAAGTGTCCTAGTGACTGTAACACACATTTAATCAGTTTAGTAGATAAAAATGCTCTCCTTCCCCCACACAATAGTGATAAGTGAGGAAGACAGAAGAGGCTAACTCAAAACCATGGGCCTTGTATGGTTTTTATAAGTTATGGCAGATTGCAAGATATGAAATAGTCTGGTATGAAAACACAGAATAGCATATAGGCATATGTATATATAATATTATATAGACATAATTAAAGTTTAGTTTAGTACACAAAGTATTCAGGGAAACAGGACTCTTAAGATAAAAGTTTGTCAGCAAGCAAAGCACTTCTGAGGCTATAGGAAGTAAAACCTGTTG